TAGGAGCCTGTGCACTCACCGGTGTACTCAACCGTGCCTGGCTTCTTGACCCCATTCATTTTTACAGCGACTGAACAGAAAGGCAAGTTGGCTGCTTCAGCTTGGCCAAGCAGCATGGTGCAGCACATTGCCATCACTGCTGGGATGCAGACCTCTCTGAGGTCTGGGCAGCTTGCTTTTCATGGTGAAGATCTATATAGGAAGTAATTGCTGGTCTACTTCTGTGCTCTTCTTCTTTCCCTGGGAAGAGAAATAGTGACACAGGTGAAATAGTGCCAACCACTCCTAAAATGCACGTGGGCTCCCCGTGTGCTTTTTGGTTGCATTTATTGCAGTTACTGCCTTGACAGAAGCTCAGAGACAGAAGTGCAGTGACTTGCACCCTTCAAGTCAGTAGTGAGGCACAAGGAGGTGCCTGTCAGCATCTCACCAGCCACAGGCTTAGTTCAGCTGTGCCAGCTCTCCTGTAGGCATCCTCATGGGCTTCTCCAGTTTGTTAGCTACTGTCACCTCTGTCCGCAGAAACCTTCCACTCCTGCCTTGACATGATGTTCTCATCAGAGGGTCTGGCAATGTCATGAAGCTGTGCTGCAGGATGTGCCTGGGGGAGTTAGCCTAAAACCCCCTGAGGGGGTGCCCAGGTTTGCCTTTTGTCTTTTTAGTTTGTTTTGTTTTTTCTGCTTTCATGATCACCAGAATAACTAAGTGGATTGCTAGATGTTCAACTTCTCCAAGATTTTCAACATATAAAATTAAATTGCCCAGGGAGGTTATGGAATACCTCCCTGGAGGTGTTCAAGGCTAGATTGGATGAGGCTTTGTGCAGCCTGGTCTAGTGTGACGTGTCCCTGCTCATAGTGGGGAGTTTGGAACTAGATAATCTTTAAGATCCTTTCCAACCTTAACCATTCTATGACTCTATGATACTGGAATAAAATAGAGCGTATAGGAGACGTGGAATTCATCAGAGACTATCATAATGATGTGGAAGAACAGACATAGGGAAATGAGCCTTGTTTAATGATTGTTTGCAGTGACAGCCCACATTTTAATAAATTAATATATAAGCCCATAACTTGAAAGATGTGATGGCTCTATGGGACAGCATTCCGTATTTCTTCCTTTCTCAGGGGAGCTGTAGGGTATTGGCTGACAACTTGGAAGCACTTCTTCCTCACGGATGCTTTTAAAGCTGCTTTTCTGACTGCAGAAGTCATAGTTAAGTCTTACACGTGTATTTTGTGTATGCTCTTGGGTACAGTTTCATCCTATGACCCCTGAGAAGACCTCATTGACCTTCTCACAGCTTCTTGAGCCTGAGAAAAGCTCAGTCAGCCTTTTTATTGCCAAGCTTTCTTCAGTGCTACACTTAAGAGCACAGAAACCAAATGGATTTATTGATATAACTATAATCAGAAGTCATAGCCAGGATGATAAAATGGTCAAATGATCAAATTACTTAAAATTAGAGGCATATTGAAGTGCTTCAGGGACTGGGAAGCTGCAGGCAGGCATGCATCTGGCCTGTGGGTCAGCCCCGTGGCAGCTGCATTTGTATTTCCAGGCCCAAACTGCAGGGAAACCTTTGGGGATTGCGGTATCCGTGCAGCCAACAACCAGAAAGGGATGAGACCACTTTGATTTTGTGACTTGTGGAAGAATGAGAAGATAATGGGACAGAGCATGGACATAGCCAGGTTGCAGGCTGAGTGTGAGAGGCAAGGCAGCGGCGCTGGGTGCTGGTTAGGAGCGGGACAGGATTTCTGGGCGTGACAGGTGTTGGTGCGAGTCTCGCTTTGGGCTGGGGGATTCCTGTGTCCCACAGGATCTGAAGTCTTGAATACCATGAGGGCTCTTACCTAATGCATGCCCTTAGGTTCAAATGGGGCTGTCAGTGTTTGATTCTGCTTGTTTAACAGGACACAGTCCAACTTCTGCATTTTATAATGCTTAAAAAAGTGAAGGCACTTTTACCTGTGGCTGAAGGATTTCATTTTATCAAATATGTTAAGTGACATTCATTTTGTGTTTATTACATTGCCAGCACATCCTGCTTAAGGATGAGATATGCTGTGTGGCCACGTGTGCCTGGGCATGCGTGTTTGGAGTAAATGCCCCACCTTCTTCTCACTAATATACTCTTCTGGACTTCGGGGGCACGGTTGAAATGGCAGACCGCTTGTTCTTCTAGTTTGAAAAAAAGTTTGAATATACTGTCGTTTTCCTTGATAAGAGAGCTCTATAAATTAAACAGAGTCAGAGTCAGCAACCCAGGTACATTCATCTTCCTGATGCAATCCTAAGTTTAGCATTTCCTGACATATATTTGATGTTGGCTTAATTGTGCAGCCTTAAAGTAGGATATGACTATATAAGTGCAAAAGCAGTAAGGAACAGCAGGTGCAGGCTAGAAGCTGTCTGCTGAAAACTGAGAAAGGGGTGGATGATGCACAGATCCTTGCAGCAAGGAGACTGAGGTGACAAGTTTATTGTAGTGGTTTTTTACTGCCTATCTAGTCAACTCTGAAAATCAGCCTTCACACAGGAGATCCTGTAAGACTTGAGTATATTGTGTCATCCCGAGGTCGCCCCTTCTGCTCTCCTCACACACGAAGCACAAGGAGCGTGTGGTCCATGGAACTCGTATAGTATGTCCTACACACTGCAGGGTATGGCTGCAGAGATCTTGCTTGGAAAGAAAGGCTGGTCTTGCAGTTGAGATTTTTGAATGAAGTAGAGAAAAATCTTGGTTCTCTTTTCACTTTTACTGAAGGAGGTCAGAAAAGTAATTTTGGAACTTAGTTTTTTTTGGAAGGTATCAACAGATGCAAATAAATGCTTAATGGGCTCTCAAATGTTCTTTGAAGTCAGTGGGAGATAGGTCTCTGAGATTTCAGAAATCCCACACAAAGTGTTTGCATGCATCTTTAAGCATCTAAACACCTTTAAAAAATATGGCTTTTAAGTACCTAACTCTAAGCATAGGTTCCTGCATCCCCTAGGTGTTATTGAAATTGAATCCAAAGTTGCCTAGATTTCCCCTCAGGAGCACCCTTTTGTTTTAATTTTCTCACTGACTTAATTCTCTCTTAACTTGAGACATAATATATATTAACCTACACTGATTTTTTGTAGCAAAATGTAGAGAAGTGAAGTTGTTTCTGAGCTGGTTTATTACAAAAAAGCAGCATATGGCTGATTGTGTCCCATCTGAAATGCAAATGGTGGAGCTACGTGGAAAGAATTGCTATTACTTGAGCAGTAAATGTTTCCTAATAAAGTGAGTTTGACTAAGGTGGGAAGCTGAAAACAGCTGCAGGAAGAAATGACGACGGTTAATATTTCGGTGGAGCAGAATACTCTCATTCCACTGATAAGGAGGTTCTTAGGAAATGGACTGGATTTTTTCCCCTCTATTCTGTATGTTCATCAGTGTGGGGAAATGGTTACACAGGGAACCAGACTCTTTTTTTTCCACTAGTTATGAAATCATGTAATTTAATTTATTATCAGCTCTTTTCACCTTTTGCATCTTTTTGAGATGAAGTTTTCAGTATTTTGTGAACATTAGGGGAAAATAGATCTACCCAATGTAAAGAAAGTCCAAAAGAAGCTGAGTTCTGGTTCCACAGATTTTTGTCACCGTAGGCACATTTGCAGAGGCCAGAGGCCAAAGGGGGGTTGGAGAAATCTGACCCACACTGTCTAATTTCCTACACTTCCTCTTTCCACCAAAGTTTTTCTCTTGTGTATCTCCCTCTACGCTTCCAGTGGCTGAAGGTGTCCACATGTCATCTGTGAATGGGAGGTGAACTGACTTTTAAACACGTTTTAAATCAAGCAGGGAGGCTAGAGGCTGACATTTCCATTACTTAACTCTCCAAAAAAGAGCTGTGGAGTTGACGCTGTGAGGTTCAGTGCAACCAGTGGGCTGGAGCTTCAGTTGCATTACTTTGCCTTAAATGTCAGAAGGAGTCAGGAAGAGTTTAGATAGCAGCATGTGCACAGTTATGTGCTCAGAAAATCTGGGCATCTGCCAGGTTAAATCTTGGGCTTTGTCCCCAAGCAGGATCACATTGGTGTGAATGTAAGCATTGCTGAGGCTGAGCTGTCTGTTAAATGGGGTGGCTGGGGGGGATGGATGATTAGCACGCCTTTCCCTTGCTGGTGCCCAAGGGTGTCTGACATCACTAATGATAATGAAATAGGAGAAACCAAAAGAAAAAAGGCTGCAGCCTGCTGTTGGTGAAAACAATTAGGTTTCTTCATCTTCTGAGCAATGGCGAGGCTTGATGAGGTCAGGACATGTACACATTTAGTTCAGATTTGGACCAGACTGTTGAAGTGAATCCCCTGCTGTTCTTTCATTCACATCTCAGGACAGCCCAGGAGCTCATGAGTTGGGTTGTTGTGGCTCTGGAGATGTCCCCAGGCTCCTTGAGGACAGGGCCACTGCTGCTGTGCCCGCACTGTCCTATGCTGTGCTCCCAGTAGGATGAGATAAGGCTTCAGCATGACATCTTTTATTATGATCATAGCTCCTATAGATGCTGTAATTATAATCAGAATTAAGTCGTAAATCAATATAAAACCACACTTTTGTGGTGTTACATATGATGGGCAGCACCTCAACAGAGGCAAATACTGTGGCTTCTTTAATTGCAAGAGGGTGCAGAGCTTGAATTATTGCATATCTGCTGGGTGTTCATTGATTTACAAGCATTATAAGTGGTAATGCTGTGGCATAATTTTCCATGTATGAGACTCTCTTTTATCTTTCCTTTTTTGCTTTCTTTTCTTTTCTGTGTCCCTTCCCTCTCCCCACATTTCATTTCCATCCAGAAATACAAGTGACCTCTTGACAGAACTTGCCACTTTCATTCTGTTGATCTGCATTGTGCAGTCAGGAAAATAGAAACACTTTTATTTTGGAGATGTATTTATGATGTCATGAAAAAACTCTCAAATTAGCCTCTTCTTTTTTCTCCTTATCTTTTTAGGTGTGTGTGCAACATTGACTGTTCTCAAACCAACTTCAATCCTCTTTGTGCTTCCGATGGGAAATCTTATGATAATGCATGTCAAATCAAAGAGGCATCATGCCAGAAACAGGAGAAAATTGAAGTCATGTCTTTGGGTCGATGTCAAGGTAACTCTCGTAACAAAACTCATTTCAAAGAATGTTTTCAATTTTTGTTCAGGGAAAAAAAAAGAACTGGGGCTGGCTTCTTATTTGGCACTTCTCACATTTCCATTAGACTCTTTCAATTTGGATGGTACAGTGCAGGCTGAGGGGAGGGTGCAGAGCGAGACGCAAGGAGTGATGTTCATAACCCTTCCAACACTCCGCCTGGAGTGGCCAGGAACTGTTCAGCCCTGCACTGGTGTCAAAATCAGACACCTGTCAGAGCAGGACAGCAGAAGAGTCTCTCAGGATGGATCCTCTGTTGCTCCCTCAATTGGAGCAGCCCAAAGCAATCTCAGGAGGCCAAAGATGTGCTCCCAAACACAGAGCTGGTTCTTGTTTCTCATGTGACCTGCGCTGGGCCCATGAGATGCCAAAGGTCCCTGGAAGGAAATTTGGTTAATAACAGCTCAAGACTCATGGTGTTTCTCCATGAATGCCATGCTTTTTTGTGTCCAGCTCATGGGCTACTATAACACCTGTACCTGTAACCCTTGAGTTGACTTTATTTTCTTTTTAAATAAAAATTGAGGAAATTTGCCTTTAAATAGCTCCTGTAAATAACGTGTCTACTGAGGCTCAGACTCCCAATAGCTTTTTCCCCCTTAGTTTCTGACCTAAAAATCCTCAGTACATCTACTGAGAAGCCCATACTATATAGGTATATTAAACACATCCTAGTTTATTCCTATCTCTTTAAAGTTAACCACCCTACATGGCAGTTCATTTCAGGGTACAAATTAAAATTCCCTAATTACTTCAAATAGAGCAGAAATGACAACTTCTGCTTCATACTTATATATTTATCCCAGTTGCAATCTGTTATCACATATTGTTAGAAGAAAGAAAAAAAAAAATGTTTTCTTAATGGAAGATGTTGAATGTTTCATTCCAAAAAGCCAATTCCTACTGTTTTCAACTGTCAGACCCAGGGGAGCCTTGAAGCCAGCAGCAATGCTGTGCATGCAAGTGAAGCTACGTTTGCCTGGGCACTGGCAGCTGAGGCACAGTCTGTATCAAGTAGAGGCACCCCAAGCAATTCAACATCTTTCTTTTCCCACAGATAATACTACAACAACTACAAAATCAGAGGATGGGCATTACGCAAGAACAGATTATGCAGGTACAGTTCCTACTCTGTGAAAATCACCATTTCCAGGAACTATGTAAGTCACTTTTTCCCCCATTTGCTAAGACAAGATGTCCCCATCTTGTAGTATGTTATCCTTGGTTTACCTTAAGAAAACACTGTCTTCACATTACTTTTCCTTTTGCTGAAAGCTCTTTCCTCATAACAAATGGGCTTCTACCATTTTTGTCAGTATACAGGTATTTTGGTCATAAACCACCTGTTCTGACAGTGAAACTAAATTTTTAAGCTCTTTTCGCAGAATTAGCAGACATAATTGAAAATTATAGAATCGGTGCACTAGATTATGAGTATTTTTGTCACAATATAGAGGTTTAAGAAAGCGAAAATCCAGAGCATAACACAGGTGTGGCAATGAAATGTTGCCATAATAATAGAAAATATTACCTGTCTATGTTTGACTATGAAATTAATGAAGTTCCTAAAATGATTTTTTATGTGATAAATGGTTTTAATTTCTGTAGAAGCTACAGTAAAATATAATCACTGAATAGCCTTACATGGCAATTGAAATTAAAAACATGTAAATACTGGTGAGGTTTGGGAGATGTTTTTTACACCCTTTGCCTGAGAGGATTGCTTTAGAAATTGAATGTGCAGGCACGTGCATGCAGATATTCACAGCTCGCACTGAGAATTCAGGCCTTTGGGAAGGTATTGTGAAAGTGGGTCAGGTGATGCATTCGTTGCTTAAGTCTGTGATATTTTTGTGGTTTGCAAGTAGGTACTTAGAGTAGGTTTGCCTCAGCAGCTTGCTACATGGCTTAGGCGACATCCGGCTGATGGTTTCACAGGTCTTAATGTTTGTTACCAGGAGAGTCCCCTGGCATTGGTTGATTTTTGCTGGTCATTTCTTGTGAGGGCCCTTTGTGCACAACATCCCAGCATTAACAGGGTACCTATTAGAAAGGATTATTCTGTTCTTACTTCAAAATGGTGTGTGATGATTAAAACATGGAAGCCTTTCCATGGGTGAAGGGAGAATATGCAGAGAGAGAAAAGTCTTCAGTCTCTTTTCCCCAAAGCTTAGATTATTCTCAGCTTTTTTCTGGGATGTAGCAATCAGATATTTTTAAAGGCTGGAAGGCTTGAGGTTGTATCCTGTGGTGGGCAGAAGACATAGCCAAGCAGGTCAAAGTTATTTATTTTAAATTAGAAATGAAGGGAAGTAATACTGTTGTGTTAAATCCTTTACCATTCTTGCTGGAGAATTGAGGAGAGCTCTGCCATCCCCAAATCCAGATGAAGGCCTGCAGCCCCTTTTTAAGTGTTGTGCAACCTGTCCTACTCTGCTACTGTCTGGTGGTTTAGCTTTAGGATGGCAGTGACTCACATTGCCTAGAGAGGAGACAGCACATTTAAACGTGAAGCTACTGGGCTGTAACAAAAAGGGAGGGAAGGCGGCTTGAGAATGAGGGAGGAGGAGGAGGAGATCACAGTGATGACAAGAGGAAGCCAAGTCATGGGTCATAGAGGAAGAGGAGCACAGAAGATGCCTTCAGCTCAAGTGGGCAGGAGGAAGAGAACAGCTCTTGCTTAGGATAGAGTTGGTATTTCAGCCCATGCTTGAAAGGATAGTGGGTAGTAGAAAACTGATTGTAGCAAAGGGACTGGGAGTCAAGGGAGGAGCCCGGGAATAAACTGGCTACTAGTGAGGGAGGAGGGCAGAACAATGACATGGAGGAGTGGGTCTGTAGTTGAGACAGTCTCTGAGATCCGATAGGTTGGAAGGAGGTGTTGCAGCAGATGTTCCAGTGAGAGGTGATGGGGACCTGTGGTAGGGAGACAGGGCATCTCACTCCCCTGGAGCTGCAGGAGGCATGGAGGCATCCTGAATCAGCAGGGAGGTCCAGTAGGTACCTTTTTGGCACTGAAAGGCACAGTCATTGCACCTTAACAAGCAATTCCTTGAGGCTTCTGGAATGGCTCAGGCTCCAGTGGTCTTCTCAAAGGCAGTGACTGTCTCCTCTGTGTCGGTCTTATCAAGTACTATCCATTGACTTAACATGAACCACAGTTGCTTGCATCAGCTGATGACGTGTGTTCTTTTTGTGTTCTTATTCTTGCTTAAATTTGTCATTTTTAGATGTGATGGCAGCAGGTAGGGTGAAAGTTGTGTGTTCGTGCAGGGCAATCCACATGCCTCTAGTGTCCCCAGGTGTCTGTGGCATGACCCGAGCAGGAGATTCTAGGGGGAAGGGACAAAAAGCTGGAACAACCTCAGTCTTTGAGGAATACTTGGTCAGAAGGAAAAGAGCAGTATAAAACTGAGGCTCGGTAGACATCCAAGCTTCAGTATTTGCTGGGCAGGAAGCTCCATGCTGTCCTCATGTTCTTTCAAGCACAGAAACATTTGATTCAGGCTATTACAGGAGCGTGGTCTGTGCTACTTTTTTTCCCACTTTTGTATCTGCTCAGAAGGGAAATGCTGCCCTGACCAGGGAGAGCTTTGTGTGAGAAAGCACCAGTTCCTCAGCTGTTGTGCCTCTGAAGCAATATCCCTGTCCCTGCACCTTCTGGAGAACACCTTTGTTCTCTATCATTTAATGGCACAAAAAATTGCCAAGACTGTGAGTACTGCCTACTTTTTAAAACACTGACTCATATGGACTGACTTTCCCAGGGGAGAAAATAGCAGTGGGCATAACTGATGTTGTCAATTATGCTAATGCAGCAGTGCCAAATGCTCTTTGCAGAGCTTGTGGCAGCTGAGTGGTGCAGATTTTTCCATGAACACCTCCGCACGCTCAACACGGGGTCCCAGGAAGGCAGCAGCTTTGCAAACAGCCACAAATCCCAACACTCAGCTGATTTTTTTCATATTGAACTATTCAAACTGTCTGTTCAATCCATGTCTTTTCTGCCTCCTGTTCTTTCAAGCCCGTTGATCCTTGCAAATAACACACAAATCTTTCAGTTTGCAAGACCAAGAGTACTCGTTCCTTTGGAGGGTAAAGTTTTGCATTAAGTTTATGTTGCCTTGGTTTTTGAAGGGCCCTTACTTTACAGAGGCAAGGTTTACTCTAGCACTGGAACACCTGACTATTGTCAGAGACACCCAAAAAGCAGGGTTCCTTTTTCAGCAAAGCAAACACAGGGAGAGTGAGCCATAGGTGGCCTTTCTCTGATGGTGTCCGCCTCTCCAGGTTTACCAGTCTACTCTTGCCATGGCTGTGTGTGCAGTGAGTGCAGGCACAACATCTGTTTGCATGTCTTTGTGTCTCTTTCTGTGCAATTCTGGCCTCTCTTGTTTTTCGGTAGCATCAAAGTATTTATCAGACTGGGGGGGGCGTTTCACTCTTTTCAACAAATGGCAAATTGTTGATGTTGATGAAGTTTTTGAAATAAGATTTGGTTTTAGTCAGTAAATGAATGGGAGGGATTTTTCCCTCATATCTAATAGAAATATACTTTATCTTGCAATTTCCATGAAAAAGCATCTTTAAACATTTTAAATGTAACTAATGTTTTTGAATGTAGTGTTTGGAAGTCCTGTGATTTATATTTTCTTTAATTTCCCCATGATCTGTCTAAAGAAGTTGGCTGTTTCCTAGGCAATTTTCATTCAGAGCTTAGGCAACCAAGGAGTTTTGATCTTGTTTCTTCATTTGCCTATTTATTCTTCCATCTTTCTATTCCCTTATTAAGATCTGGATATTAGCAATTATTCCCCTAACTGATTTTATCCTTCCTCATTATCAAATAACAGAGATTTTTTTCAAGCCATTTTGAGCACTATAAAGAAGAAGTCATTATGGATATGCTATATTTCAATGCTATGTATTCATGAAAATTGTTAGCAAAGACACTGACAAATTTGATAGACCTATTCAATAATATCATCTTCCAGGCCAGACAACACTCCTTATATGAGCATTGATTAGATCAAGGCTTGGAAGCCAAACACCAGCAGCACAGTGAAGCTGATGATGAGGGGATTTTCAGCCCCAATAGTCAATTTTGGTGAAAAATGCACCTCTGCAAATGTATGAGCTGTATGGTTTTTTGTGGCTTGAAGGCAGTTATCTCTCCCATGGCTGCAGCCTCAGATGGTGCCTTCTGCAACTTTGGCTAGTCTGGGGACTCTCTTGCAGGTAGTACCATGGCCCCTCTTGCCGTTGCTGTGCCTGGAAAACGCTAACGAGCACAAAATGCTGCACGTCTGCTCATGGCTGCTCTGTTCCCTGCTCTCCCCCATTTCCCATGGGATTTCAAATCTACGTGACAGTCTTGGACTGCTTTCAGACTGCTTTCTGGCACTAGGGCCATCCTGGCACTACTGGCAGTGCTCAGGCGAATAATCCGGCAGATAGCCGTGTTGCCCAAGTAAACTGAGTGCTCCACCAAAAAGGGCACAGTCCATCTGTGTCAACACATCATCTTTTGGCTGGGCCAGGGCTGTGGGATGAAGGCCATGGGAGCTACCACAGATTCCTAAGGAAGAGTTCTTGGGTTCTTCAAAGAGTCTGCTCAAAAGTCCAAGTCTTGGACTCCAAAATAAATAGAATGTAGTATTCGTGTCTGAGAAAACCACCCTACAACTTTACTCAAATCTGTCACTCTGCATCATTAAATTCCAATCCCTTTGAACTGGAGAGCAAGCCATGCCTATCAAAGGCAATGTGGAGAGCTGGCAGCAGCACGCTGACCCAGCACACGTGCGAAGCACTGGGGTGTGACACATCCCTGTCTTCACAGGCTTGATACAGAGCCCGCCAAATTCAGTCACAGTCATCTTCATTGTCTGTAATAGGCCTGGAGAGGGGCCAGGAATCAGAGCAGCAGTGCTGGATTTCTAGAGAGTGATTTTTTTTTTCTTTTTTTTCTTCCCAGGAGTAAAATAGGAGAGCTTCAGATTCCTTCTCTAGATTATAACATTTTTGAAGTAGGTTAAGTTTTTAGTATAAATCACTTGATATTGTCCCTTTAAATTAAATTTTGTGTCTGTTACCTTGTCAGCCATTTCCTAAACT